GAAAAAGACAGACGATGCAGACAAGTCGGTCGCGCGAGTTGGCGAGCGCCGAAACGTCGGATCTGGCGAGTAAATACGCGTGGACACGCCCGTAGCAATTACACGAGTGCCTGCAAGTATAATGAGCCGTGCGTTTCATTGTGATTTATGCCGCGGCCAACTTGCTCCGTGTCAAGACATCACCTTCCTTGTTCTGCTGCTTGTAAATTTGCGATGAACCGGCCAGAGATTCGTACGAAAACTACGGTCACGAGTTTCACATCAAACTGAGAATTATACGTTGATACGGGGATCGGAGGTGTTAGTGAATCTTTTTGTATTGACAGGATTCCCTCCTTTGTTAGTCTTTGTTTAGATATTCTTTTGAATTTGTTGAAATAATTCTCACTTCTAGAAAAACTCTGCATCTTCTCTAATGTTTAGTTTTCTTAGTCCTCGAAGCCTCAATGAACTTGAAGGACCTGTCAGACTCGTAGCTTTTTTTAGGAACACACCTTGCACAGTTGGTGCAACGGGGTACATACAGGCAAATTTTTCGTAATTATATATGTCGAGTTACCATTGGGGCGTTTAACGAACCTTCATTTGGATTAGCCATTGTTCTTATACAATATAGATGATAGTTAACGGTACAAATATGGTTATTACAGAATTTGACAATTAGCCGTGGTGATTAGACCCTTCAGATGCTAGTGACAATAATTTTAGGTTCAATAACGAATACACGCTCAATGGGATAGCAAATGCGCCTTCTTCCAAAGTCCAAGTCGAACTCAACTTACTTGTCCACAGTTTAAGTGTAACTCAATTTACTCGTCCACAAGTAGAATTCATCTTACTTGCCCACAGTACAAGTGGCGCTCCACTTATGTACTCTTCTCTGTACCTCTCCGTACTCCTCGGGTCAACTATATTTTTTAAGGAGAGCTATACAACTACTCTATACTTCTGTTAGGTTAAAACGTGCATCCCGTGACCGTGGCTACGTTTAGCGACCAGATGTGTCACTTCGAGTCCAAGCCTACCGTCAAAAATCTCGGGCAAACATAATCGGATTAAATCATAAACAAGTACTTCTAAGTTTTATTATTTAAGTACAGCTATAATAAAAAGTCTGGATTAAAGTATTAGGGATTTTCTCAAAAATTCCAAAGGAAAGGCTCCGATGTTCTTTCATCTCCGACATATAAATACTCATAGGCCCATGGCTTCAGGCTCTTTTGTAAAGTAACACTGCCAGAGTGCAGTTCTGGACTAGCATACACATTGTATTAGGTCGTTTAAAAAGTTTCTTTCGTTTTATAAGGAAATAATGGATGCACAACATTTTCCGTTTTATATTATTTTATCGAATTACGTATGATCCATTTTGTTCTATCAAAATAAATATCACAACATTCGACAGATTAGGTTTCATGTTCCTATAAAGATGCATCGTTGTAAAAGACGGGTCTGTAAAAGAAAGACACTTTTCGAACAACCTAATACTTACACAGTTGAGGAAAATATTAAGTTGGTATGATCACTAGTTCCTACATGCTAAGTTGGTACGACTTCTAACGACGCTCCTTTGTCTTAGGTGTTGGCCACGTGTTAATTATCTTAGTGTATCCGGTGTGTTCATATGGCTGTACATGGTGGTGAACGTAAAAACTGAATCTGTGTGAATCAATAAATATCAAATTCCAAAACCTATTTAATAACATATACTTAAACTTACTTAAATATATTTCTAGTATACATTCATTCACGCATTGCCTCTTTCTATTCCGAGATAAAATCTCAACAGAATTTACACAAAATTTACAAATTGATTCGTACCGCGTCAAGAGACACGGTTATGTAGATGGAGACGACACCATTAGAACATTCGAATAATTAAGTAAAATTGACACCACGACAGAGCGTTGAAAGTGAATCTCGAATAGGTAATAAAGACTATTTTTACTTTTCACTTCTCTATTTCCCAGAATTCCTTCAAAATTTACACATTGATTCATAATACATCAAAAAATCTTATTATGCTCCATACCATAAATTAACGGGTTAAATCACTTGGGTATTTTCTTATAGCCATCTTAACATATATTCACCGTACAGATTATTAACTAAGATACTTGGCTGATTCTTAATCCCAGTTTGTATCCATTAACGAAATCTTCAATTATATTTACAACAAATTCAATTTCAGGATCCTCATCTCGAATATACCACTACACAGGACACTGACTACTGTTCGATGAACGAGTTTCTCAGATATTCGATAATCAATTTCAATGTTCGTTTCTTTCGTTAGATAACCCTTCTTTTAATCTATCTCAATATCTAATAATCCATAAAATAAAATAATGAACCTAAAAAGATGTAATTCGATTTCGATGACCAGTCTGAAAACCTATAATATTCCCGTGAAATATAATTCATAGGTCAAGATAATTTCCCATAAATCCAATCTGCCTCTTATCTCGACCGGCGTTATTAATCATTGGAGTAGGGCGAAAGAGAAATACAGAAGAGCAGATCGTACGCGGAGAGCTGCATCCTGATCGATAAATCGGCCGGGCTAAACAACTCGTCAAAACCATGACACATGACCTGCACGACATGACAGGCGTCATGGGCATCGCGTGTCGCGCACCGTCGCTCTAATACCATTCGGTTCCATGTATTATTCAATCAGCCAATAAGGAAAACACGCCATTCGTGCTACACTCGATCCTTCTGCGTTCGTGTTTGTTCGTGATACGCGTACCAGAGGAGGGTGCTGCTAAATGAACTTACGATCGTGGAAAATTGTCCTCGACAGGGTCTGTCGAAAGTTAATCACGCGGATTGAGCGGTCGAACGTTGACAGCTCGCCACAGACACAGCGGAGAAAGAAACGAACGAGTGAACGAGAGAATGTAAAGGCGTTGAGCGACTCTCGTTTCGTTGGGCGCTGCTTGTTTTTTCCTAGCGCCTTAACACTATCTCGTTGATACGTTTCTTGCGTTTAGTATTACGTACACTTTTATCCATAAATCGCTGTTGTAAAGTAGCGTATAATTAGAAAAATGACGATTTAACAGATTTCTGCTGTTATGACATCTCCTATTTTTGAAAAAACTTCAATATGTAGTGTGGATTATATACATTTTAAATGCTACGCACTTTTAATATAAAGTTGTTGAATATACATTACTATATAGTACAATAGTATACTTTCCTGTCGTATAAAGTATGAAAATAAAATAATTATTGCGAATTCTATAATTATTGACAATTCTAAAGCACATTTCAAAAACCTAAGAGTTTGAGCAGGAGTATTTCAGTTTGAACAAAGTCCCAAACGTTAAGTACAATAATGATCGATTGATTATGGCACGGAATGGTACGCATAAATCTAGAAAAAGTGATGTGTTTGTTTATTTAAAAATAAAGTTTACCCATGACATAATCACCACCAGCTGGTTACCTTTTCTATCTGTCTCATAATTAAATTCAACGCGTATCAATCTCTCCACGAGTCCATTTACACGTCGTTCTGGTTGTTTCTCCACAACCGTGGAACACAGTGAATAACAACGACGACGAAATAAAAGAATGAAAACTAAGAAGAAAAGAGAAAAGAAGGGACGATAACGTCGTCAGCTTGCGACAGTTAATCCTGCGGTCAGACTCAAACCGGCCATTACGACGTGCTGTCCATCGTTAAGAAGTCGCGTCGTGAATGGTCCCGCGGTAATAACGAGCTCCTTACATTCAGATTACACGTGCGCCGCGCCGTGGCCGGCTTACAACAGCTATAAAGCAATAAAAGTCGATTTGCCTGGTGAATACGGACCTGGTGATATATTGCACCTTAGCGCCCACGTAACTAAGGAGCTCACCGACCGCCACAGCTTCAACTCTGCTGCGATTCTCGAATTTTTTATATTTTAATCTCATTTTCCTCGTTTCAATCGAATAAACAGCTTGTAACGACTTAAAACGATTTTTAGCATAAAGGAAAAGTATCTCAGTGGATTTTTATGAATTTATAAGAAATTTGAAAGTACAAAATTGCACAAAATGCAAAAATGTATAATATATCGAAAGTATAGCACTTGCTGTAATACTTGCTAGATAAAACAATCTCCTGTCCAGGTTCTACATTTTTAAATATATTCTCAAGAATATAAATTCCCATAAAAATCCGTAGTCCAGTGATGAGTCAAGAATGGAATTTGCTCAGCTATCGCAGCTACGATCCGAGAGACCAGATAATCAAGAGGACGAATTATAAATTCATTATTATCGAATCATCGAGCAGACGTCCGAAATGTTCGCCGCAACTTGCTCAGATATTCCTCGACTCCTGATCCATGATTATCTCGCTCGTCAATCTCGCCGGTTTTCCGTCGACAAATTGATTCCCCGCTGATTACCCGATCCCCTGGGACGATCGCTTATTATGCCAGACTAAATACCTAATGGACGACGAATGGCAGAAGAGTTAAGAGGTGAGGAAGGCCGGAAACGATGCTATAGACTGAGTGCCACTTCATTAATACAGACTTGCCGTACTCTTGTTACGTCTTTTATAGATTAGGTGTTTGATATCGAATGTTTTAAAGTCAGCTTCGAAGTAGTTCTTTATGTTCTGCTTTTAATTTAGATTGCTAATTAATCCTGTATAAAATATTTCTTCTTGTAGATGAGGCAATGAATTGCTATTGATTACAGTTTTTTATTTTAGTGAAAGAATTAACAAGAAATGGTCGTAAATGATCCGCCACCTATTTCGATAAGACTTCGCAGGCTTGAAGAGCAGCCAAAAATATTAAACATCTCCATATCCTGTTTTAGCTACGGTAACTCAAGTCTGAGATGTTACAAAAGGTTACAGATTTAATGTATAAAACACCAAGTAATCTGAAAGATTAATTAAGAGCTAAAGAGAGAGTTAAAAAAAGAACACATACTTTTAGTGTAAATTATTATATAGTTTCCTTCATTTTGCAGTTTTTGTGGATTTTTTCACTCTTATATTTATCGTTCTTTTTTTTATTCGTAGAATATGTAGAGTAAGGAGAAATAAAGACGTATTACGATAGGACGAAATTAAAACATCGGTGCGGCCTTTAAGTGCTCGTTTCTTTGTCAACGCTTGTTCCCACAGATTGATCCTTCAGCACCTTGAATTCGTGATCCGTCGCTCCTGCGTGAATTGTCGGACTATATATGCTGTCATATTCCTCTTCCTGGTCCCTTGTCATTTTCTCAGGATCCCTCAGTTTGTGAAACTTGTTGAAGAGCATAGTAGGTTCCGTGCAGGAAGTCGTGCTGCACTCTATTATGGTGCTCGGGCACTTGTTTAAATCGCAGTTGAACCCCATTACTCTCCTTGCAGCAAAGTCCCTGTACACTTTTCTTATTTTCTTTGCAGACTCCGTAGTTCTTTTCTACAAGTATAACAGTCTGTGCATCACATCAAATCGATTCTAACATACGGGTATTATTAAAATTGTTTTATTCTCACTTTTACTTGGTTTGAAAATTGCTGGAACTTCCTCTTGCTTCTTTTTATCCTGTGCGCCAAATTATTCTTTTTTACCGACTTGCACACTGTCAATTCGAAACTGAAGCAACGCTTAGTTCAGCTTACAACTTTTCTAAATTCCTAACAATTAGTACTAGAACTACTATTAGGACTATTGAAGCCTAAATCTAAAATATAATTAAACTGTATTAAAGAAATCGGAAAGCAGAGGATACGAAAACGTATATTAGCAGAAGAAGAAAAGCAAGTTTTTCTTTATATGTTTTAGAAAAATTCATTTAAATCCTCAGGGATACACTGTCATTTTTATCGAGTTTTTACGAAAGCTACCAAAATACAAAACTTAATAGTAACGAAAGAAAAACAAACTTTTATTCATATAATTTACCAAAATATCATTCGTCATTGTAAATCTAGAAAACTTCTGTGAAAAATTATCCTTATACCTAACTATTTTGACTATAATTCTAATGTTAAAAACAAAACAGAAACAGAAATAGCGTCAATTACCTAGAGGTGTCCAAATCCTTTCTGTATCCCGTACAATGTTTCGAGCACCCTCGTCGAAAAAATGGCGGCCTAAATTTCGTCCTAAAATCTCTCACATTCTTACGACGTCGATCCGTATAACACCCTGCTGGTTCTACGTCCGACAATTGTTCTATGTTCTTGGGAGCACCGGAAGGCATCGATTGATAGTTATTTATTTCGTTCTCTGTAGCCGGTTCGTGTTCGTTGTTCTTCATCTTCAGTATCCCTTTTTTATTCCCTATTCCGATGTCGACCACAGATTCTTTATGCATATCTTTCCATTTTCTCCCTTTACCACAGTGTTAATCTCGTTTCTTTCACTTCAAGATTGATCTTGGACACTCCATGAAGTTTTGACGCGTTTCAATTTCAAGATTTCTCACGAATTTCAATATTGATATGCCTATAGAATTTTTTAATCTGGTGAGTTGTTATGATCTTTGATTTTTTCAATATCGTTGAATATTTTAATTTTTTTAGGGGTCTTCAACTTCAGCGGAATATGTGCTTTCACAGGAACTAATCGAAGTCGAATACGGAATTCGCAGTACCGCCCATTCGCGTAAGATCAGCATGGTTTTGGTGCCTACTTTCAAGTCTTCATCGTGTGAAGGAGCTGAGCACCTTGCTATTATGATGACTCTGTCATGATCCTTTAAACATTACAGTTAAACATTAATTCAATACTCAAAAAAAATAACCGGAAAGAGCTTTCGGTAATATGGTTTTATATTTATCATTAATTAATGCCGCCCCATTAGTTGAATCTGTCAAATTTCGTAAGAAATATCGATACTCTAACCTCGTCCTTCATTAACCTCGTTCGCATTTTCCTCCATATTTTTCGAATGTTTCGGAGGTTTTCGAAGAGCTTGCGGCACAAATTATCCAATGAGACGGGTAGTTAAAAACAGCAGCATGTTGCGATAAAGGAGAAATCGAAAAAACGACAGACTAAAATTTGTCCATCAAAGTAAAACGAGTGTTCGTCTGATTTAGGAGGGTGGCGCCATTTAAACATGCGAACGTCAACTTTCATATACGTCTTTCATGTTAATGGTTTCCTTGTTGTCTCTTAATCTTTCCTTTCTGCTCTTTCGTAAAGGAATTTCTGACTGAAAAGTTTCTTTCCATTACGTTCTTTAAGCCTTTAATCGAAGGTTTTATAGTCTTATGTTGAGTGTTCTGAAATAAATTGTTCTTCGAATTTATAAACAATTTTTAACAATTAATATACAACGGCAAACATATAAATAGGAAAAGTTGTTGCATCAAATTCGATTTAATCGATATAGTTTGTAATTATTCGAAATGAAAATTTGAAAACTATTCTATAGGATGTATAAGCTAACTTAACTTGATCACGTAGAATAACTTCTAAAGTATGCGCTGTATGAAAAAATATTTATACAAAAGTTTCATCGTGTGGAGCAGTATACTATGCGGTGCACGTATCTTTTTTATAGGTGAAGATTTCAAGGTCAACTTTGTTATTTTAAATGGAATGCTCTATTTTTTTATGTGAAAATATGGGAGACTGTTGAATTCTGAATAAAAAAAGTATTGACCTTTATTAATCCTGAAGCTAATAGTTGACGATTAATTTCGCTTTGTTTCTGGCAAGATTACTTTGTGTAACTAATATCAAGTTGCAGATTAAATATCATCCAAGATTTCCGTAAAGCGGCGGTGCTTATATCTTGCCCTGCACATCACGCACATGTGACAAGGCAAATGCTGGGCAGACAAATTTCTCAATTGTTGGATTAGCTGCGATGAAGAATTTCTGTGGCCGCCACGTTCGCCAGATTTAAAGCCGCTAGACTACTTTTTGTAGGGGACGTTAAAAAATATAGTATACCGTGAACCAACAACGATATCAGAGAATATGAAAGAACGAATTCGCGAAGCATGCATTACGATTGGTGTGGATACTCTTCAGGTTGCGATTTTCTGTTTGGTTAATAGATTTCATCATTGTATTAATGTCAATTGATATCATCTCCAACATCTACAACACTACACAGCAGTTAATGGAGTTAAATGAGTGCGAAGAGGTAAAATCTATAGTACTGATAAGCATCGTTACGTAAACACCGCTCTTTTACGAAAATCTTGCGTGATATTCAATCTGCAACCTGATATTAGGCACACAGAGTAAACTTCCCAAAAACAAATCGTCAACTATTAGGTTTAGGATTAATAAAAGTCAATATTTTTTTATTCAAAATTCAGCATTCTCCCATATTTTGACGCAAGAAATATAGCATTCCATTTAAAATAATAAAGTTGATTTTGAAATCTCTGGAACGCCTTCACCTATAAAAAAGATACACGCACCGCATAATATGCCCCTCCAAACTATGAAACTTTTGTAAACAATTTTTTCATACAACGCATACCTCAAAAGATATTCGAGGCGATTGATTTAACTGAGATACCCTGTACATTTATAACGACTAAATATTTTTATAAATTCTATATTATAGAAAAAAAAGGAACAGAAATAAAATTTTGCATACTGCGATTAGCTGAATTTATGAGTAACGATTTTTCTATTTACATGTACAGTACTGTATATAATAATACCGGTAGTATATCCATCGATGTGCTGATATCAGCAGCAATAATTGATCTTTTCGCCATATTCTCGCTGTTAAATGTAACCGATGGTCTCTCCATATTTCCAACATCCATGGCATTCTTAGTATACCAATTTCTAGATAATCTCACTAAACCAAAAATTCGATGATAAATATTTTATTCAACTATAAATTCGTATTTCTCTGAAAATTTACTTGTAGTATCAGCCACGTGATTATCTTTCGACGTTTGTGGTTCCCCTGAATCATGTTGCTCTTGGTAAACCTCTGCATCCTCTTTCTTTGCTTTCGAACTTCCTGGATTGTCTTGATGTTTTTTATAAATGACAGGATTTCCATCTTGATAAGAATCGTCAATTCTGAAAAGATAAATTTACAGTAAGTTTAGATAGAATAGATTTGAAGAGTAAAAATGATGATCAATGTATGTGGCAGAAAAATAAAAAATGACTCTTTTTAATGTTATAATATTTAAAAAAAATTATAATATTAATTTATAAAACCACGAAGGAGTCCGGAAACATATTTCTTTACCTTTCGGTATTTACGGACGCATCTACATATTTTCTAGGACGTCCCTCGACCTCATCTCCGTCTTGCTCCCTATACTTTCTTTTCTGAGTAGACGGTTTAGCCGAATGTGACGAAGAACCTGATTTTACCGGTGTCGAAGTAATGAAACCATCGTTCGGCTAAAATCAGAATAAATTGTACATGCGTATTTATTTAAAAATTGTATAGTATATAAGAATTTTATACTTCGATCTTTTCCTCCAATATCTTCAAAGTAACCATAGTTCCATCTAAGTAACCATGCAAGTGTGGTAATTTCTGTTCGCAACAGTTGAAATTTCGTTTCTTGAATATCTTCCACCAGAAATTTTCGTCATCGAAAAATCTTTTCAGCTTCGTCATTTCTTTGATACAATTGTCTAAAATTTCTCGAAAATCATTTACATCCGATCCTAATGAATCTTGCGTTTGACAAGGAGCATCTTTCTTCTCATTAACTCTCTATTAAACAAATATCGATATAATTACCATTCTCGCTAACAAGACAAAGTGTATCTTAATTTTAGTTATTAAGATCATTTTACTGGTCTAATTTGTTGCTGAGCACATTCTAGCTCCTGAATACTTTGCTTCAAGTGTCGAATCCTGTCGAGCAATCTTTGTGTGTTGCAAAATTCCGTCTCTACTTGTGATTTCGCGTACTTACACTTCCTCAAGCTGCAGCATTCTGTTACTGGTTTGATCGCCTGATAACGATTGCTCTGTGGTTCATTACCGGCCGAAGGGGAAATCGAAGAGAAAGTAGGCGCGCAGCATCCTCGTTTTGATTCCTGATAACCAACAATCACAATTGCACTAATCGCGTTACTCTTTACTCGATTAAATTTGTAGCAGCACATGAGTCAGAGGACGATGCGAATCGACAGCGACTCGTGTTGTTGTTTTGCCTCGGGACATTGACACCGTCTTGACGTACAAAACGTAACGATAAATAAACAATCCGGGCAAAACAATACGTGCGACCGTCAACAGAAGTTGGATTTAGACTTTCCGGTACTCCCCCGACCAGTATAAATAAACGAACACGATCGTTAAGACAATCAGTGAGTATGGAGCATTCTTATAACGAATTAATATCGAGCAATCTTATAACGATTAATATCCAGCGAACGTACTCATTACCGTGTATACGCATATCGAGCAACACTGAGCGAACGACGACTAACTCCGTACTGCAAATAGTTTTAAACACATTTGACTATACAAAGTATTAACTCGTCTCGACACTATATGCACCAATACGTTTAATCGTACATGCACAAATTTATGGTCATAGGTAGAAAGAAGATTGGCTCCTTATAAGAAAGCGAAATCGCGTAAAGTGTTAATTAGGTTACGTACCATCCACGATGTAGTCTTTTCTCCTTCTGTTTAATACATTCTGCCATCAATTATGGGATGAATTGTAATTTTATCGTTTATAATTTGCTTTATCGTGCCATTATTGTCCATCTGTTTTGTAAAGTGATGATAGATACTTGTAATAATTTTTCATGATTTGTGGTTATATGTGCATAAATCGTATTTCCAAGATGACGACAGCGTCATCTGTTTGGCGATTTATTCGTGCGCAAGAAATCGAACGTTCGTTTAAAATCCACTGTCGATAAAATCGATCCACTTGGGCCTTTATAAATCTTGTTGAATTCGTTACAGATAGTCCGTTTCACGGAAGAACACCTTTTCACGTGTGGTTTGAGAAACACAAAAAAGTTGATCGAGTCACACGAAGAAACGACTTTTAAACGGCTCGTTTACCATAATACAAACTGCTCGAGAGAATCAGTCGCCCTGAAATCTTACGAAACGGCTCGTAGACCCGCATAATTGCATTGTGAAGAGGGCCTTAAGGGTCCTCGGATCGCACCGCCGGTTCACAATGATCGTGACAAAAAGTTAACAAGATTGTCGCCGCGGAAAATCAGAGTAGTCGACCGCAGTGTATTTTTTCATTCATTTGCAAAGGAGATTAGGCTTCAAAGACATCACAGATCGACTTTATTGCGAACACGTTAGAAGAGCACCCCGCTGAGGATCGGAATTACATCATTCAAGTGCAAAGCAGCATCAACCATACATTCTTTCATGATCTTCGAGAGATTCTTGCGAACCATTTTAACAT